TTTGCGACTGTTTATTGTTAAATCGATTTGTTTTATGCAAAATGTTTTGATCACTTGGTACTGTATAGGACTGAGGCAAAAGTGACAACATGAATTTATTAAAGAGGTAAGTTGTTTATTGGAAAGTAATCGTAATTAACTGTTAGATTGACTAATGTTTTTCAAATGTAATGTAAATTAGGATAAATGTGATTAAATCAATCAAATACTGTTAATTTCGATTGTCGTTCACTTGCGAACTCACTTCACGAATACGTGAAGTATCCAATGGGATAATCGCGGAGCTGGTAAGAGTGAGCCCGACTCGAAAGTCCGTTACTGTTGACTCAGCATATTTGCGTAAGAGTCGCTGGCATCCAGTCAAAATGTGGTAGATTTAATTATGATGTTTTTTATGGATACACGATTCCAAGCCAAATTGATCAAATTCAAAACATAATAGTTATTAATGTTATGGGTTATATCATGTCAGGAAACGCTGTGAACAATTTAATACATTTGTTTAGGTTTTATTAAATATATGCTATAGTTCTCCTAGGTTTTGTTCGTAGTAAGTAGTTTATTCACGCAAATAGAATCTATATTCTTTACGCCTGATGAAGAAAGTTTGGCAATTTTGTATGTATTAAGGTCATAGGGCAATTCATAATCGAGATTTAGTGCTGTGATTGCCGTAAATACAAAATGTATTGGATTTTGGTGTATATGTTCACGCGTTTTTGCAAAGTCTGAAGATTAGCCACAGTGTATTGGGCCCAAGCTATAGCTTCAGAAGTTATAGCTTCATAAATTGGAATTCAGATATCAACCATCTTCATTATCAAATCAAAATATCCCAAAGTTTTACCAAACTGTAACACTTTTTCTATTATTTTATTCTTGTTCATAGTTTTGAACAAGAAATTTTAAAATATAAATGCCGCTATATCACATTGAAACATTATTACTTTACTCCATAAAAAATAAAATCAGTGGCGCTACAACCTCTTTAGGTCTGGGCCTCAGATTTCTGTATCTGTTTCATTATCATTTGTCAATCTAATAGGCAAGTAGGTGATCAGCCTCCTGTGCCTTACACACGCAATGCTTCCTCACGATGTTTTCCTTCACCGTTTGAGTGATTGTTAAAATGCGAAACATAGAAAGTCCGTTGGTGCTCAGCCGGGGATTGAGCCTTCGGGTTCCAGCATCAGCGGTCGTAAAGCATTGAGGTCGTAACCTCAGGGACGAGAGTCGCACGCTGAAGCCACTAGGCCAACTGCTCTCTACTTAACCCCATACCTAGACCTTTTGTTGGATATATTAATCATCTGTACAAAGATCCGCCTAAAATGAGCAGAGTAAGCTCAATGGTCAACAGTGCGATTTTTAACCCTGAGGTCATGGTTCTATGTACGTGTACCGGCGACACAACATCGTGAATAGATCGCACAGAGATTATCTTAGTTGCCTATAAACAATTATCAACAAAACAGATACAAATGACGTAAGCAGTTTTACTGCAATTTATCCCCCCCTCTACTTTTGCTGACAAGAGGATGGGCTCTTGTCAGCAAAAGTAAGCAAAGCTCTCAAAAATAATAGTACATTATTAGTATTAATTTTTTGTAGGAATCCTCGAAAATGCATTTCGTTTTCAATATTCATAGACAATGTGTCGGTAATATGTGTAAAAAAGTAAATAATTACTGTTGACGTAATCACCAAATAAGTAAATCAAAACCCCCCCTATAGTGCTCACGTAATACTTGACGGCCACTAAAGACCAGGAAAATTTTCGTTCAGTATGAAAACTGCTATAATGAGTTGTTTGCAAAGTTTTGGTCAGTCCCTTGACCGCGTGCGGCACTGGCACGCGAGGGGTGCTTGACCTGTCGTATCCACGTGATCGTCTACGAATTATGCCTAGGGTACACGGTTGGATCTACATCGTAATTCTCATTCGCTTAGTGTGTGGTACACTAAGTTACGTCATATATTATATTAACTATATTTTTGATAGATTCGTTATATAAACGAACTGCTAGTGTAGTTTATCGGTAGGCATATAAAACAGCAATAGAGCAGTGTTGGCCCCAGTGACGTCAGCGTGCTATTCTGCCTCTCTCTCTTTCTATCTCTCCTTTAGGTCGTAAGTACGATCCCTGTCTGTATTATGGACGTTCTGTCTTTGTGCGCATTAAACGCGTGAACAACAACGTGTGGAACTGTGAAGAATTTCACAATTCTTTGTGAAGAAAATCTTTTTCTTTGAAAATGTCGGTGTCGGTGTGCAACCCAAGTGTGCTCCAAGAACTGGGTTTCTTTGTATAGGATATGTGCGACGGCGAATGCCTAGGTTATTACTGAATGCTGTCTCCGACACTATCGACATATTTATATGTTTGCAGAGTGAATTCACAGTAACGATATTGTGTATATTATGTGTTTAATACTATATACTTTATATTTTATTTTTCTCGACATTATCGTATTGGCATAGTCTGTAAGATAATGTATGTATTACTGTAATGAATAAATAAATAAAACGCTTTCGCTTGCTTTTTCGGCTTCCGTCCGGCAGACTTCTACAGTAAAGGGATTAACAAAATGCCATCAAAATGGCAAAAATATTTTAGATTGGATGAAATAAAAAAATACATAATTTCATATATTTTCATAGAAATTTTCATTTTGAAGCCTAATAATAATTATGATATTGGTATGCACTAGGCCTACAATTTAAATAACGTGTATGGGCTTTTGAAGGAAACTCGAATTGTTCATGTAATTATTGATGTATGATAAAACTTACATCACGAAAGTAATGTGGTTTTATTCATTAATTAATGCAATAACAAACATTGTTGCTACAATATAAATTCTTATTGAACTTATTGATTTGATGATACATAGCAGTATTTTTTAAATTAAGAGTGTGAACCCTATATACGAACCAGGGTTTCTTTTCTACATTCGTAATTAACTCTAGTACAGTGAAGCAATACAATAAGAAAACCGGCCTACAACATATCTTAGACGTAAATAGCTATGTGTTTATTTATTTACACTTCGTTACTTTATTCAAAAACATACATAATATGAAAAAGCAGGTTACATAAGTTATGACGGGCGGCCTTATCGCTAACAACCGATTTCTTCCAAGCAACCCTAGTATGGAATTATAAAAGCGCCTTTAGATACAAGTACAAGAAGTGCATAAATAATTAATAAAAAGAACACAAACTATAACTAAAATAATATAATAGGGTAATAATAGGAGTAGGCATAACTCAAAAAGCTAATCCAAGGGTTAATTGAGTCACAATTAATATATATAACCAGCTAATTAGGAGGCAGAAGAAAAATGATCAAAAAGAAGATTTGTCTAAGAAGTTTGAAAGAAATGAACTCACAAATGTTTCTGCCACGTTCATTTAACATTCCGATTACGCGACAGTTTTTTTATCATTCTTCTTTTTTCTCAGTGTTCTGTGCGATATGTGTGTATGTAATAACGATAATGACTTTTTGTATAGCCCGATCCCTAGGTTGGGATATCAGTGGTGCAGATATAGAGAGAACATCGAACTTGCATACAAAAACTTCGGGTACCTATTGAAAGTAGAAGTATTAGAGTAATAGATTAGAAATGTGCAGCTCCCTCAAAAATGGTTGAGCTGCATGAGCTATTCGGGGCATGCTTGCCGTCTGCTGGCACAGGCTAGCTCAGATCGATCTGGTTCTTTCTTCCAAAGACCAGTCCAGTAAATACTCTGCATTTGTTTACACCAATTTATTAATTTATTATTGTATTATCTGGACTATAAAAGAGACTAAGACCCCCGAGTTTGTTTCGACATTTCTTCTCAGGGCAGTCAGTTAGGAAATGTCGACTTCATCTAGCTTAGGACAACATTGTAAAAGTGATTTATATAGTCCTACTTGCAAGAATAAACTATTTCATTTCATTATTTCATTTCAGTATGGTTGCCGTTTCCTCACGTAGTTTACCTTCACCGTACTGTTAAATTCGTAATTACTAGGGAAAATTGGTGCACAGCTAATGTGTGCACTAAAACCAATATATATTTTAATATACTCAGTAAAATTATCAATGTATTTGTAACTTAAATACCGGTTAAAACCGCTCGTTATCCAGCTGTACGAATACACGGTTATTAAATTTTAATATCGCCCTACTTTTTAGGATCGATTTCGATGTAAAAATCCATACTGATTGGATGTTCATCTTTTCCGAATGTTTTTCACAGCTTTCATATAGGCAATTAAAAAGGTGAAGTTTTAGAAGTATGAGCTCATACGTTACAAATTTCTCTTCTAGACTTTCTTTACTATTGAATAGAAGGAAAATCATTGTTCCTCCATCATTAATATTAGTAAAATATATAAGTTGATCGTCACTTCAGACAAATACGATGTAAATTATTTGACGATGTTCACAAAAAAGGGTGGAAGGATGTAATATATGAACTAACTCTTATTCAAAAGCATATGCTGCGACTCGAGCGTTTACAAGATTAAAGTGGCATCTTCTTTTCTCCAGTGTCATCTCGAAAAAAATTAAGACGTTGTCATTGGAGAATCATAGAACATTTATTGATATATCATTTGCGTTTATAATATTTAAGAATCGGGTGGATTGCCCCAATCTTTTAACTACATTTGAATGCACCCCCTAGATACTCCTGGCATTCCATCATTCCGTTTGTCTTTTGTATGTATGAGTGTGCTGAGCGTTGGCTTATTTTGGTAAATAAATAGGCTCATTTAGATAATTTCTTCTATGTTCCGAACTAAAAAAGTTTTAATTTAAAAACTTCTTTAATGTAACCATGAAGAGCAGAAGTTACTGGTGGCGGAACGTAAGATATTGCCTAAAAACCTGGGGCCGACGGGTCTTGGAGAGTACGAAATTAAGAGTTGGTAGCCCAGCCCAACATTATAGGCGAATACAAAGTTATTGACTATTTTGGCTGGGACACAATAAGCAAATGGGCATGGTCAAAGATCGGGCGGTAAAGGAAGCTTACTTGAGCCAGCCTAGTGGTCGGAGACCAGTAGGTCGGCGTAGGTACCGCTGGATCGACAGCGTGAAGGACCTGCTGCAGCTGAAAGACAGCACTTGGCGGGAGGTGGCAAAGGATAGGGTGCGCTTGAATTTTCTAATTTCGGAAACCAGGACGCATTTTGGGTCGCAAAACTTAAAAACTCAAAAACTTCTTTATTGGAATAAAGGCGAATTTAAGTTACTCGACGTGAGACGTCTAAGAGAAGTCACGATCAGTGAAAGACGACCTTTGTTAAGTTTTTTTGCAGTAACGTAAATTAAGAGTATATCTTCGTTATATATTCATTCGACTTGAAAAATTCAAATTAGTTTAAATATAGAACCTTTTTGAACTAAAATAAATGCAGCCATTTCCGTTCTAGTCTCTGAATTTCATTCCAATATTTTACGTTCCACCTCATTATGCAAGAACTTTACGAACATCGATGTCGTGTCGTAAATGTCTTTGCTGTTGTCCCATTTGATATATTGCCTTTGTACAGTATTGTTATGACTATGCAATTATATAAAAAAAACGTCAACCCCGAGCGAGGCAGCTTTTAAGCTACTGCACAGACTATTACAAAACGCGACTTCAGTGAGTTATGTAACCCTTTTTTTTTGTTATCTGAGGTGGAAATGCATTTTTGCATTTTTGCCCTCAAAAGTTGCAGGGGTATGTGGGACTCGACCCTCGCCACTATCTCTGCTATTCAGAGACTGGGTGAGAAATACCCAGTAAAACACCTCGAGTAGTTCCTACAAAGCCGCGTTACAGAGGATCCGGGATCGCAGTCGCATTATACCGGGACCTCAACGGCATGTTACACTCAAAAACATCCGGTGCAGTATGCAGTACATAGGAAATAGAAGATGGGCATATCTTCTCCTATTTACTCCCCTTCTTCTACCCCTAGGATTCGTCCTAAAGCGCTCCCTCTCTAGTTCTGCTATCTCCTGAGTAATGTAACCATTAGTTAAGTTACATATATATTTTTTAGTACATAGTTAGAGGCGTACACAAAATGTACGCTTCGCACTTCTCGTTTCCGATAATGTCCAATAACATAAGTGTCATTTAGATTTGTGTACACTTAGATAAGCCAAGTTAGTTTTTTAGCGTCATAACCCCACTACCCCTAATGTTATCTTAGTTATAAGCTCATATTTTAAACCATTAAAGTCAGTTGTTACCCAGCTTCAAACAAAGTGTTTTATTTGAACATCTCCATACAACAACCACCACCGAACTTATGGCGCGTTGCGTTTGATTGTTGAGTCTGAACAATGTTCATAGGAAAACTAATGTAACAGATTTTACTGTCTGAGTTTTAATGCTTTAAATAATGCTCATTGCAATCATTAAAAAGTCCTGTTATAAAATGATTAGGTTCCTCATGCTTTTCTTTATTGTATTCAGGTTGTCATTGGCACGTTAATTATAAAATAAAAACCCATAAATTAGTTGGTCTGTACACTTTACACAAACGGGCACCAAGGGAAATTTCCATTTTAACTTCGATTTCATTTGAATGAAATTTATCGGGCATGGTCTGTATACTTATAATCGTGTAAATTAATAGCGGGGTTCTGGCATTTTTTTTAAATTAATTATTGATGAATTCTTTAAAACCGATGTACATGAATAAACAATAAGAAGTGGTCAGCAATAAAGACTTGTTTACTATTTTAAATTAAATAAGTTAGAGTAGGTACAACCTATTCTTTCCAAAATGACACAGCTTGAATCCTTTTGGGAATGCTTTCCACGATGTTCTTAATAAAGTTTGGAAGAATGCAAAGACTCTTTTTAACGCTGCGCTGATCTTACTTGAATCTATAGAACATCCCAGACATTCTCAGTTGGATTGAGGTCAGGACTTCGAGGATTTCCGTTTTGTACCGGTGTGCATTTAATGTACCATTTTCTAAGAAAACTAACTCCGACGAATTAACCTTTTATTCTCGGACATGAAACTGTGCAACGGTTATACCCTTCACTCTAACACTACTATACTAATAAAGAAACGAGACAGAACATACTGTGTTTAAATTATTTAATAACTTACTAATGGATTGTTTATTTATCAAAATAAAAATTTAAATATGGAACGTAACTTTGGTCTCAGTGTTTCGGGTCGCGTGTTCGTAGACGCATGTCTCGCGTGCTACGCCGTAGCGGGCTACGTAAACCTTGTACTTAGTTTTTTATTAAGATCACGGTTTTATGATATTGCAATAATCTGGTTATTCTGTGGACTGTTCGTCAAAATGTCGGATTTTATGGTCTGTGATTAATCGTATTTATAATTTAAGGGTCTATCTTTCTATATCCATAGTTTTATTTTTATTATAGAGAAATAGATTAACATTCAGTAGTTTAGTGTGTTTTTTATTTGTCTTTTTAGTTACACACTCATCGTATCAATTAATTGCTTAATAACAAATGTAATATATATTGGTAAAATTATTTGAAAATAACAATCAAATGTAAAAACTTCAGTCACGAAAGCCTTACATCAAACAGAACAATAATTTTAAATCAATATTTTATTAAAGACACTTAATATAAAATACTATCAGAACATTAATAAGTCATCAAGGTATAGACTACCTTGATTTTACTTTAAATTCTACTATTTATTTCCTGCTTTTAATGCAAATATTGTAGCAACGAAGAATGCCGATAAGATGACGTTGGTTCATTTTATGGGTATTGGTTTTTATTGATTTGTAATTGTGATGTCGCAAATTGGTGCAAGCACGCGATTTTTTTACTTGCAAAGGAAACTAATGTGGGCGCAAAACGGGAATTTGACATCACTTACTAAATCGATATTTTGTACATTAACTATAAAAATAAATCAGTGGCGCTACAACCTTTTTAGGTCTGGGCCTCAGATTTCTGAATCTGTTTCATGATCATTTGTCAATCTGATTGACAAGTGATCAGCCTCCTGTGCCTGACATACGCCGTCGACTTTTTGGGTCGTAAGGCAAGCCGGTTTGTTCACGATGTTTGCATTAATTTATCTATACACAAATATTATAACAATGCTGTTGTTGTTAAAATTGTCAATAAAGAATTTGATATATTGATATATCTATATAGTTTTGAGCTGATGTTGCATATGGATCGCACAGTACAAAAAAAAAAATCTTTTAATAGCTATTGCGAGTTATAAACTAATGGTGCAAGAAGTATATGTTATTGAATATTTAATTATCTTGTTAATAGTCAAATTATTTCCATTGAGTCTTATTTTATGCTAACAACAAAAAGTGTTTTTTAATAGTTAAAAATAAAATCAACATTTTACTTTAACTAAATGATCATCGTATATCATATTATAGAATTACTAGTTTTACAAAATTATTATTAATATTAGCATTAATTTAAATAATATATATAAATTTTTTAATATATATAAATTACGTGTCACGTTATTTGTCCGCTATGGACTTCTAAACTACTTAACCGATTTCAATCAAATTTGCACACCGTGTGCAGTTTGAACTAACTTAAAAGATAGCTTACATCTTCATTTATACCCGTAATATTATTTTATTGCAAATTATTTGTTTATTATTTGACAGTCACAATTCTAACAGATGGCGCTGTGTTGAAAAGTACCAACGTTTCACATAAGCTACAATTTAATGGCATAACCACCAAAAAAGCATGGTCCCCATGGGTCCCCATGACTGGTGTTCTCCTACCGTTTCCCTTGAATAGTTTACTATGTAATATAACAAAAACTTTAGCCACAGCAAAGCTTGGCCGAGTCTGCTAGTACTAATATAAATAATTGTTACTCTATTCAACGTACCACTCATTATTATTAATAAAATCCTTGTTTATAGAACAGGGGGTAAACTGGCAGGCTCATCTGATGTTAAGTGATACCGCCCGTGGATATTCTCAATGCCAGAGGGATCGCGAGTGCATTGCCGGCTTTTAAAACTTTACTGTAGCCTATATTAAGTCTTATTTCCAATACATAACGTATTAATAAGCTCCGTGTGACTGTCGCATGACACTGAGCTTGATCGATCTTTTCGTATGTTTCTATTTCAATGTATTACAAAGCTTATTTATTTGTATGTACACTTATGAACGTCAAGAAAATCTTCTACATTATCTGCCAGATTCCAAGGGTAGCTTCGTGCTGTAAGGAGCAACATCACATACTTCAATTGACACCATAAGTCACAAATTTAGTTAGATTTTGTGGACTGCAGGATAATTTACTATTCTATATAGTTTCCGTAATTATGGTGATTGGAAATAAGATTAAATTAGGTTCGTACGGCTGTCGCATGTCTACGTTATCGATCTATATGTTTCATATCTTTTAGCCATTAAACCCTTTTTACATCGAGGCTTTCAATCCAGTTAGTATGTATAAACAGGTTGGCAAGCTGAGTTTGTATTGTAAAACGTTCTTCAAAAATTTTGTCTCTTCTGGACCAAGGCTCACTCTGGCGTTCTCGATTTTACAAGCGATTACCTTAATCACCGTAGTTGCGCCAGAGTGTAATGAGAAGGTACGTCTTCAACGTTTACATTACATTCATGTAGCATTCGTTTCAGAAATAATAAAGCCCGTTTATTTCTAACCTTAACAAATATTGATCCAACAGGTTTAGATTTTTATATATATTTTTTTGGCTACTCCGATATCCTGACTTACTTCAGTACCATTGATCCTTCACGGGTAAAGGCGTTCATCAGCTTTTTCCAAATACCTCCATGGCTATTATTATATATTTAACCATGGCTTTCTTTATCTATTCGCTTCCTTTTATACGTGAGTGGTTACTATAGAGTGAAAATAACATCCTCTATATAAATTCTAATATTTGAAGCACCCCGATAACCCAGGAAGAGTACACTTTTTGTCAATAGATTTCAGCCCTGCGATTCTGTAACTCACTTACAGTACTCACTGATTTGAGAGCGACCGCCGATGCGAAAACCGCTGTGTGAGTTCGAAAAGTGAGTTACAGAATCGCAGGGCAGTAGTAAAAAGGAAACAAGATAAATCTCTTCGATAGTAAATAAGCAATTTCAAAACAGCGTAGATTTGTATATACATATTTGGTTTTTATTTTTTTATTTTTTTTTATTGGACAATTCACACCAATTGACCTAGTCCCATGCTAAGCTGGTGAAGCTTGTGTTATGGGTACTAGGCAACGGATATACATAGATATTATAGATATACATACATATAAATACATATTTAAACACCCAAGACCTAAGCACAACACCAAATGCTCATCACATCGATGTTTGTCTCAGCCGGGGATCGAACCAGGGACCCATGGATCCGCAGTCAGGGGTACTAACTACTAGACCAATGAGCCGTCAATATTGTCTGTAGAATAGATAGAACATTCTTAACAAAAGTCACGTCTTCCTCACGCTCATCGTTTAATGGCCCTGTTAACAGATTGTTCCGGATTTACAATAAAACTGTGATGAAAAATGACTTGGAGTATATTTTCAGCAACTCCATAGACCTTTCGCAGAGTATAGAATTTTTTTTTTTTTATACCTACATAATTATGTATTTATGATGTATATTCGCGGATGCTTGGCGGAACCATGCGACTTCATCAATACAAAGAGACCCCTCGTGAGTTGTGTTCTGCGATATCGCGGGCTACTGGATTGTGAGGAAGTTTCATGGATCTCGTTAGCACTGCACCTTCTCATGTCATTTTCACACGTGTATACCCTTCTATTTTTTAGGCATACACATTGTTAGAATGTATTAATAAATAAATATAACACATTCATAAGTATTGTTTGTGAGCAAAAATAAAATAAAAGTCCAAGTCAGCTCGGACGATTTTATAGAAACAAACATTGCGCGGAAAAATCAATTACGTGATATATAGCTTCTATGTTTCAAGGTACATTTGGAACCTAACATTATAAAAATTGATGTATTAGCCTTTCAATGTTATCGATGACTATTTAATTAAAACGGCCTTGTTTTGATCTATTTCTAACACACATTAGGGGTTGACATTGACTTGCATAGCACGCACGACGTGTTTGTACATTTTTTATGTTTGCATGACAATGGTGAAGGTTAGGAAAATTAATTGGTTGACGCGTTTATCGATGTAATTTAAATTGAGTTTCCATGAGCGTTACGCTTTTGACATTTCAACATTTGAAGGAAGTATCTTTACTTTTCTTATACGCTTTAAAGCCAGAGAGATATCATATTGTGATATCATTGTATAATGATAACCACGTATGTCAAAAAAACATTTATTTTTTATTCTGTAATTTAACTGGCATAGTCATGAAGTTATTATTTATGTTATTAATAAATAAGTCTTACCATCTAAAACTATAGACAAAAATACTTAATAATATTTTGACGAACATAGACGAATGCAATTTTTTTCGTTTCCTGTAATGTTTGGTTCTCTGGACATACGAGGTTATCATTCTACAGCGACATTTTGTTTTAGTCCAAATAAATCATTGCATAATTATTCGATTTGTTTTAAAGGTAAGGCGTGGTAAAGTATTGTATCTATTTGTTAAAATACACCTATATACAGGGCGTCCCAAGACTATTGGACATCAAGGGAAGGTCCCTTAGGACCTAGGACCTTAAATATCGTAGATAGGATATTTTTTTGATGCCAAACAAGAGAATGGAGAAAAGATAATAATTCTTCTCAAGTAACAGTATTTTTAAAAGAACAATTTTTTTTCACATTTGGGTCAGTTCGATTCCCAGACGAGACAAGTAATTTTTAGAAAATTATTGATTGCAGTAATACTTACTTTAAAAAATAAAATGCAGCCTTCTTTCAGCAAAATATCCTACATACGATATTTAAGGTACTTTCCCTTAATGTCCCATCATCTTGGGACGCCTTGTATAATGCATTTAAAGTATATGTTACAAGCTATCTATTCTAAATATATGGCAAACAAGTGAACATATATTTTACAAAAAGAAAAATCATTTCCAACTATAAATTTTAGTTTTACTAGTAATTTAAAAATACTTAGGCGCGATCGCTTTTTCTTGATAACCAATTTTTATTTGAATTTTCAGTTATTTGAAGAGGTTTGAAGATGTTAGATGAAAATTATAATGGGTCGCCGTGTGGCCATCTCCCCTTCTACGCCTAGGTCAAGGGCCATGGATAAATACGAGCAGTTGTCAGTTGTAAGTCATAGCTTAAAGATCTATAGTCATCCTTATTACTTTATAATGCAGTGAGGCTGATAGGTGAATGTCAATGGCACCTCTCGTTTGATTGTGAAATTCAAAAAATTCAAAATTCAAAATCATTTATTCATATAGGTAACACGATGTACACTATTAATAAATATATGCTTCTAATCTTACATTTACTGCCAGTTCTCAAATCAAGGGCGTAGAACGGAAAATAAGAACTGGCAATAAACTCTCCGCCACGCTTTTTAACGTTTGTTGCAACCATTACACCATGTTCTACATGACATCTTAAGTAATTAATAATAATAAAATAAATTAAAAACAAAGATTTGTCCTCTATCAGCAGGAGGCATGGTGAAATAGGAGCACGCACTTACATTCTCGAGGGAACAACACGGAAATACATAGTTTATTAGGGTAGAATTAATTTCATTTTAATGATATAAGGAGCTTGTTAGGTTGGAGAAGGCTCTTACGGCGTTGTGCTAAAATGCCGTCGTCGTGACAATGGGCACTTAGTGGCGATCAAGAAGTTTTTGGAAACAGAGGACGATGCTGCCGTTCGCAAGATGGCGCTGAGAGAAATTAGAATGTTAAAGGTATAATTATATTAATTAAGTAGCCCGTTTCACCACTGAGCGTTTTTAAGACAGTTTCTACCGCGCACCACTAATATGTGGAACCAGCTGCCCACTGAAGTATTTCCGAACCAATTCGACTAAGGGTCCTTCAAGAAAACGAGCGCACCAATTCTTAAAAGGCTGGCAACACACACGCAAACCCTCTGGCATTGAGAGTGTCCATGGGTGGTATCACTTAACATCAGATAACAGGCCTTTAAAAAAAATTAATTTTCTGATAAATACGTATAAAGTAAAATTTGTTTTATAAACGGCTGGACAGATTTTGATGAATTTTTTTGTGTGTTGACTTGAACGAGTCGAGAATGATTTACATTGCTTACTTTTGTCTGATTATTATATTCTTATTTTTTTGTACAGAAACTACGACACGATCACCTGGTAAACATGATCGAGGTGTTTCGACGCAAGCGAAGATTTTATCTTGTATTCGAATACCTGGATCACACTCTGCTAGATGAGCTGGAAGCTACTTCTGGGGGTCTTGGGGAGGAGACTGCCAAGAAACACCTGTTTCAGCTGCTCAAGGGTGTTGAATATTGTCACCAGAATTCCGTAAGAACGAATTTATGTTTTTGGTTTACGCACAATATGACACTGAGGCACTTAATTTAATTTCCGTTGAAACGTTGTTTAGATCGAGGTCCGGAAGTCTATGTGCGATCGATTTGACAATCATTTTTTAATTAATAAATATGTTTATACGTAAAAATTTATTTGCCGAAACAGCGTCAGGGTGTCTAGGCCGCAGTTCACTCGGGGTACGATACAATCTAAATACTGCAGGTAAAATATAAGCTAAAAATAACAAATGTCTTATGATTATTATCATATAGACAGGTCCAGACCCAGTTTTCTGGTTCCTAGTCCACGTAACTAGGTCTGCTACCATCTAAGAGCGTGGAGAGGCTTCTAGAACCATCCAATAGAATAGAAGCCGTCAGCGACACATTCTAAATATTATAATTATTGTATAGAACAGCGATGCCCATCCCTTTTTGTGCCCCACCTTAGCCGTTCTAAAATTCTTATGTATTTACAAAAATTAATTGTTCACTTAAGAACCTTAAATGGTAGGTTGTAGGAAGACATTACTAGGAAATTGTTATTAAAAACACAATGAAACACTGAAATTTAAATTTTACATCTTAATATATATAAAGTAGCGTCACGTTGTTTGTCCGCTATGGACTCCTAAACTACTGAACAGATTTCAATCAATTTTGCACATAGTGTGCTGTTTGATCTAACTTAAAGTCTAGGATAGTTTACATCTCAATATATACCCGCAATATTATTCTATTGCAAAATATTTGTTCATTATTTGATAGTCACAATTCTAACAGATGTCGCTGTGTTGAAAGTTACAAACGTTTCACATAAGCTACGATTTAATGGCATAACCAGCAAAAAAGCATGAAGGACCCCATGACTGGTGTTCTCCTACCGTTTCCCTTGAATAGTTTACTTCTATATAATATAACAAAAACCTAAGCCACAGCAACGCTTGGCCGGTCTGCTCGTAATTTTATAAGTTTCGAAAGTCTCTCTGTAGGGCCGGCGCCCCTCACGCACACGCTATAGAACTTACAATCACGACTAACAATTGAGACTTTAAAATATTTTCAGATCATCCATCGTGATGTGAAACCAGAGAATGTCCTGGTATCAAATAATGGTATAGTGAAACTTTGCGACCTTGGCTTTGCAAGAGCCCTGGCAGCACCAGGGGAGCCATACACAGAGTATGTCGCCACTCGGTGGTACAGAGCTCCAGAATTGCTGGTCGCTGAACACAGGTAAATTAGGTGTCGCAAACGAGATTGATACAAATAAAACCAAAACCAGTGGACCAAGCCCTGGTCCCCTGTGTCGTACAACTGAGCGTTTTAAGGCAGTAATACTGCGCACCACCACTATGCGAAATCAGTTACCAACTGTAGTATTTCCGAAACAATTCTTACGACTTATGCTTCAAGAAAAGAGCGTACCAATTCTTAAAAGGCCGGCAACGCACTTGCGAACCCTCTAGCATTAAGAATGTCCATGGCGGCGGAATCACTTAACATCAATTGTGCCTCCTGCCCGTTTGCCCAATGTTCTATAAAAAATAATAATAAATAATAATAGGCAAGTAAGTGATCAGCCTTCTGTTCCAGCAAGTATAAAATGTATTTTTTCTCTCATCGCGTTTGTTATGTTTGCCTATAAGTGCTTGTCACATTAAATCTTGTAGTTTATTGTGCCGAGCGTTGGCAAATAAATAAATATTGGTAGGAAATCACTTAAATTGTACATTAAAATTTACCTTTATTCAAAGTAATGAAACAATATTGGTAATAGTGGTCAATCAATCAGTTAATTGGGAAATCCAATGGACAATTATTCCAGCCAGCCTTGCGATTCTGTAACTTATTTTTCGAACTCACACAGCGGTTTTCGCAGCGGCGCGGCGGTCGCGCTCAAATCAGTCGTGAAGCAGTAATTTTATGATTTGGCATTCTGATAAGGAGAGAGCTTGTAGTTTATGTGTTTAAGTATTAAGTGAGTTACAGAATCGCAAGGCAGACCGTAACTCAAAAAACAACAGAGTGATGTGTTTTATTGTGCAGAACAAACAGTATAACTAAGAAAATCAAACGCGAGGGAAAGACTCGAAACAACGGAATACATTTTTTACTTCAAGTTCAAAGATAGCTTATAATATAAAAACCTTTTTTATTTCGATTATACATATATGTTTTTAGTATTTACTTATAGATAAATGTTAGTAGATAAGTTAACTGTGGATGGACCCCTCTTGGGTGAATGCCTTTCCTCCCGCGGCACGACTGCCTGGTGGTGAAGGGTTATGTGGGACTCACTACTGTGATATCCACTAAAACCCCACGGCGCCCACAGCAATTGCCCGAGGCAAGACACGGCCTTGTCCGCAGTTGGATTAGGGGCTCCTCCAACCATTTTCAGTCTCTATCTTTGCCAATAGTCTGCCAGTTTTATCCTGCTATTTATTTCAGTCATCAGCACACAAAGATAGCATATGGGTGATTAATAAGAAGATATTATTTTCAGATATGGGCCAGAAGTGGACATATGGGCAATTGGCTGTTTGTTTTCGGAGATGTTGACGGGTGACCCGCTCTTCCCCGGTGACTCAGATATAGATCAATTGGCATTAATTATCAAGACAGTAGGTGAGGTTTAAGAATGAAATCCCATTTGATTGACTATAAATTGGGCTTGCTTGCCAAAATTTTTTGGTATAATTAAAATTTTGTGGAAATTTATTTTTATTTTTTAAAACTTGTAATGTAACTAACAAATGACATAAATTATTAGGGATGCAATGGGTGGCCTTATCGCTACCTAGCGATTTATTCCAGGCAACCCTATAATGAAAAAAAATGAACGAAATACTAAGGGTAAAAGGCAAGAAGTGCAAGACCAAATCAACAAAAATTAAATTACTACACTGAACTATTATACAATTACCAAACTTAATCTAAAAAATAAATACATAATATCTATCTATCTTAGGCTTGTATCGTAATAAACAATAATAACATTGTTTATTGTAACACAACTATATTATATCCTTTTAGAAGATATTTTGGGCATAAAGTTAGAATCTTTCATAGTTCGAATTTTTAAATTAATTTTATATTCCTCAGGTAAGCTGGCACCCCGTCACCAACAAGTGGTATCCAGGCTTTCTGGTGGTGCAGCGCTAAGTTCCGGACCGGTCGGTACCAGAAGTAATCTTCCAGGATCTGGGCTGGCGAAAGAGTTGCTCTCGGCGTCTCTTCGGACCGAACCTAGAGCCAGGCCATCGGCATCTGCGCTTTTGAGGCACAAGTGAGTCTTCTGTCTGTATGAAGTTAACTAGTAGCTAGGCCTAGTGGCTTCAGCGTTGCGACTCTCAACCCTGAGGTTGTAGGTCGACCCCCGGCTGTCCACCAATGGACTTTCTTTCTATATACAACATTCGCTCGAACGGAGAAGGACAACATCGTGAGAAAATCGGCTTGCCTTAGACCAAAAACGTTGCCGGCGTGTCAGGCACAGGAGGCTGATCACCTACTTGCCTATTAGATTGACAAATGATCATGAAACAGATAAAGAAATTTTAGGTCCAGACCAAAAAAGGTTGTAGTTGTAGCTCTACTGATTATTATTTTTATGTAAATTATACTTATTAATTAATATAATAAATTCACTTGATCGTACGTACGGTGAAGGAGAACATCGTGAGGAATGCCATACTTGTCTATTAGAAAAACAAATGATCACGAAACATACAGAAATATGAGGCCCAAATATCTAAAGGGTTATAGCACCACGGGTTTTTTTTTATTTTACTAAAATATAACAATTATTATTGTTGAAGTGGTCGCAAATTTTGCCAAAATATACAAAACCACTCGTCGAAGTTTGGAAGCTAAGTATATAAGATATTTTTATGTAGATAGACTCTCTATAAATATAGTATGTTTTAAGATATTTCATTGCTGACGGCTTCTCGGAAAACTTCAATGCTGAACTAAGGAAGAAGCTGGGAAAAGATGTTTCACAGGTATTTTTAATTGATAAAAACATATTTGTCTTTCTCTTAGTTAGATAAATTAATTACAAAAGAAATCCTTGTTTTTATCAATAGTTATAGTCTAATTAAGTATTAATTAGTTTATAGTTCGCTTATATTTGCAGTTTTGGTGTCTACAATAGACAGTTCGAAATTGTTGCATTCTTGGAAATTTTCTCGTATTTATGAGGCTGAATAAAATGTGATGAAACCTTTGAAAAATAAATTGTCACAATATAAAATATGACAAACAATTTGTTTTAAATAAAATGTTTCAGACGCCTCCACCGCAGGTCGCCGCAAGAGTCACCGGAAAACCCAGGCAACAGTGGACATTGAATATTATAAATTCTGTAAGTAAACTGTCTATAGGTACTAAGATGCGTTACCGAGTGTAAATAAATACATCATCTTTCAGCAACGATAGTATAATAGATACTGTTGTTGCTGAATGATGCTGAAATTTACGATAGTTTTACTCAGTAACTACACACTATATTTTATTCAGTAACTAACTACTGTGTGAGTGTCTGTGTGTCTGTGTCTATAATTGAATTCACTTCGAAACTCACCTGCACCCAGCACACAGTGTGTCAGTGAAGTGAGCAGAGCACAAAAAAATTTAGTTCTAGTAGCACACACAATAGTTCTATAGTTCCTGATAGTTTTTAGAAAGAGTTCCCATGTCTGTACAATATGTTTTATTTTAATTTAATAAAAAGTTAGGAAAATGCTCATTAAGTCGTATTCTCTCAATATTCTTTACTTTTTTTAAACTTAACCTTTTTTACATTTAAATGATAGGGATTGATATTACAATTGAATTAATTGTTTTGATGAGAAATTATTTATCCATATCGATAATAATAATAATTTATTGCATGATTATGGTACAAAAATGTGTAAGGTGGTACAATCGTAAGTTCGCACACACAATGGGCGCGCAAATTTGTCTTTAGAGGAATTTTTCATTATTAGTCATATGAATTAGTCAGTTCTTATATTATATATTTGTATCGTACATATCATACGTTATTAAATTACAGTGTCTCACGCAAATAATCATTTATTGTATAATTTTTTTTTCCAAAAGTAATACACCAAGTCAATCTTTAAAGACTAGTCGGAAGACCTTTTAATTCTTTTGGTAAATATGAAATGCTCTGCTGTGATCGGGAAGCTGGCAGCGCATTTTACGATTAAAAAAAATATATTCTGAACTATAGAACTATTGTGTGTGCTACTAGAACTATTTTTTTGTGCTCTGCTAACTTCACAGACACACTGTGTGCTGGGTGCAGGTGAGTTTCGAAGTGAATTCAATTATAGTCTGTACAGTAAAGCATATATAACAAAATAAAAGTGAAATTTCAATGTATTTTTTTTCAGGATAGCAGGCCTCGTACGGATAGTACTGCTGGAGAATCACTTATTGACTACAATTATACACCCAGTAAGTAAAGATACCGTAATTTATTTGGATTCCAACGGTATTCAATTGTAGCCATAACATTAAGTTATAGTATCTAAATGTCAAACTGTCCAACTTAGTTGGCCATCTCTTGCTTTTCGAACCGTCGAGTTAATAAAGTACTTTCTTCAGGTATAGAAGGACAACTGGAGAGCCACACTTCGGAGAAGAAGTCGCAGGCATCTATCAATGCTTCCACAGCCGCGCCTTTTGATGATGATGTAGGTTGACACGCTTGTGTAAAAATATCTAGGTACAATAATCAATAAATATCTATTAACACGTAGGCATACAAAACTTGTAATTTACAAGTGCACTGCAGGCACTAATTAAAGCTGTTGGCGCCTGGTATATAGTACCGGTGAACACAGAGCTGGTGCTTTCCTTGCTCAACGAATAAGTATCGCAATACCGTGATCAATCTTTTTAAATTTGCTTTAATTTTCTATTTATCAATTTTTAATTATTATTATGTAGGTTAAGAATATTGTAAATACTGTATATTTGTGTGTTGGAAATGAAATAATTTTACTTTTAAGAGATTTAGTTTTCGATAATTAAATTTTGGTATCAATATTGCAGGTGGGTTGCTGGTGTCCATCAACACACGGAACCAGCAAAGTGGCTGCGGCACCATCTAAAAGCCTCTCCAAAGCCATCAACGAAACATTCCAGACGTTTAGTGTTCCCGTAAATAGTTATCCCAAAACACCTTATATCAAGAAGTGAGTGATCTTCTTTCTATGAATAATTAAAACTCCCTCGTACAGTGAAGGAAAATCGCGAAAAGACAGGATTTTTTTAATAGAACGGGCAGGAGGCTCATCTGATGTTAAGTGATACCGCCGCACTTGGACACTCTCACCGCCAGAGGGCTCGCGAATGCGTTGCCAGCCCTTTAAGATTGCTACGCTCTTTTCATGAAGAACCCTAAGTCGAATTGGTTCGGGTATATTTCAGTAGGCAGCTGGTTCCACATAGTGGTGGTGTGCTGCAAATACTGTCTAAAGAAACGCTCAGTTGTCAGCACACTTCGCACACGGACGGCGCGGCCCTAATTATAATAAGCATTAAATAGCAAGCAGGCAATTTCTTCCCGCCATTTCTGTCTGCACTGTGCACCCGCCAATTCTGTATGCACTGTGTCACTCGCTGCTTACTTAATTCTTGTCTGTATAATAATTGCTTGCCTGTCCACCTTCAAAATTATCTTCCTCTTTTCTTTTTTTTTACCTTAGACACGGGTGCATTACTTTATTGTTTTACTTTTCTGTTCCTCTTACTGGCACATGCCGCCCATTTCCAATTAAGTCATTTATTTTTTTGTGCCATCTGCTAGATTGTTTTTTTTTTAATTTCGTATTCCTTTTTTATCTATTATTCTCTTCCCTATAATGCATCGTGGTCTTTGACACGCCCGTAGTTTTATTAGTGAATGCCCGAGTAATAGACATTTCTTAGATTGTAAAAGTAATATCTCTTTATAATCGAACATATTTGTAGATCGAGGATTTTTTATAAACTTTGTTTAAGTAATGTCCTAACCTAATTTAATGTCAAAAATAAATTAGAAACTTACGATGTTTGTTCTCAGGGTGAATAACAAATTAATGATGGACGAAGAATTAATAAGAGGAAGATCGTTGGCGAAGAAAAACACGAAGAAATCGCCAGCCGATATTTCCTTGCCTTATGTGCCTGGAGGTAATCGTATTTTGTTTCGCTAGAAAGTATTGCGTATTTTACACTAAAGAGGAAGGATTGTTTGTTTAACATTGACAATCCAAAATTTATTGTGAAACCAAGTATTTAACGAACATATAAAAAATATATAAAAATAAAAGTTTTCTACTAGTCGGATTTTAAAACTTTTTTTCCGAAGTCTCTATTGTGCCCCACTCTTTTGTGGAGGCGGTTGCCCTCCCCTAAATACTGCCCTGTTTTTTGTCTATTAAAAATCTATAATTTAGAGTAAATATCCGTAGTCCGTGGGCATATCTGGAACTAAAAGAAACAGCTAATGTTCAAATTTAATTCCTGTAGTACTATTGATATTGTAAAAACCGCAATACGTAATTTCACCACATTTAAGGACTATTTATTAATACATGATTTTATTTTATAGCTAGCAACAGTCCCATGAAAAAAGCAAAGAAGCCACCTGCACACAATTCAAGAAATCATGATACATGGGATCACAGCGTATGTATAGTATACTACTATAGCCACTATTATGTAGTATGAAATATATAGTTTTAGTTTAGCTAAGTGGCTAAACCAAAACTGATAAATTTGTAGTTTTTCAATATATACTGCTCAAAACAATTACGGGAACAAATTTTAAAGTAGAACTAAACTTTTTACTTAAGGTTTTAATTATTACTGGCCACTAGATAATGTTAAGGTATTGTCGAAGAAAATAAAAAAACAAAAGAGCATCGGCGTTTTGATTAGTAGTCCTATAATAAAGTGGCAGTGTGTCTAGAAACACCTAAAAACAAAGTGACGTCTTTGAATTTTCATTACTTTCTAATCGCAGAAAACACATTTTAAGTAGTTTTTTTCAATCTTTTGAGTATTAATAGAAATTGAAGTGAGCCTTTTGAGTATTGTTATTCATTGCAGCGAGTGAGTTTAGGCCATAATGCCAGATCTGACGGAATTGCATGTCTCCCGAGCTATCGCTTTGCTTGAAGTGGGTCGAACTATGCGTTATGTAGGAAATGATCTAGGAGTAGCCCCTTCTGTTATCTACAGACTTTGGAAGCGATACCGTGAGACGGGAGAATACTCACGAAGGCGTGGTCAAGGTCGAAAGAGAAAAACTACACGTTTGCAAGATCGCTACATCGTCAACTGTGCTTTACGTAACCGCACCACAACTGCAAGAGATCTACAAAATACACTAAGGACGGCTACTGGTGTAGAAATTTCCGACCAGACGGTAAGAAATAGGTTGTTGGAAGCCAATTTGAGATCACGCCGACCAGTTCGGGCTGTGCGTCTAACAATTCAACATAGACAAGCTCGCCGACAGTTCGCGCAAAATCACGCTAATTGGCAACTTCGACATTGGAGGCCAGTGCTTTTTACTGACGAATCACGATTCCGTCTAACACGTTGCGATGGTCGTCTCCGTGTTGCCAGACGCCCAGGCGAGCGATACAGTGCAGCAGCAGTCCAGGAATATGACAAATTTGCATGTGGCTCTGTGATGGTTTGGGGCGGAGTTAGTTTGGACGAGCGCACAGATCTCGTCGTTGTTCCCGGGCGCTTGTGTGCTCAAACTTACATTGAAAATGTGCTCGAAGATCATGTTTGGCCCGCAGCATATGGTATGGGCCCAGATTTTCTTTTAATGCAAGATAATGCCAGGCCGCATACTGCAGCCATCACGTCAGATTACTTACGACAGCAGGAAATCCGTGTAATGGAGTGGCCTTCCATGAGCCCTGACCTAAATCCAATTGAACACATTTGGGACTTGCTTGACAGGCGCATCCGGAAGCGTCCGATTGCACCTCAAACACTGCAGCAGCTCACTGAAGCGTTGATTGAAGAATGGGAGCGAATTCCACAAGAAGATATTCGGAGGATTATACGAAGCATGCCGCGTCGTTGTCAAGCCGTGATTAGGGCTCATGGAGGCCACACACGTTACTGAAAGTCACTAAAGACGAATATTCAAACGATATAAGAATATTTCTTTGATGGACCTTTTTTATCACCAATTAGTTTTTCGTCTACAATGCACATTTTAATTTTTTTTTAATAAAAAAAATACAAATTGAATTTTTTTATTAATTGTAGTAATTAACAAATTAACAAGGTAAAAAAATAGCGTACAAGTTAATTTAAATCTAATTTTAGTTTAAGCAATAGAAAGGAGAAAAATCTTGTTCCGCTAATTGTTTTGAGCAGTATATATATACTAGCGGACCCGACAGACGTCGTCCTGCATGATATTTCAAGCGATTAGGATATTAAATAATGTATGTAAAGTAATGTAAAGTACCGACTTACCGACCCCGCAGCGCCATATGCCGGGCTGATTTGTGAATGTAAACCATCCAAGACTCCACCCAAACGCATACAAAAAATATCATTCAAATCGGTCCAACCGTTTAAGAGGAGTTCAGTGACATACACACGTACAGTAGAATTATATTATACAGATAGTAAGCAATTAACGAATAATACTAAATGAAATTAATCACACTATATCATAATATAATTTATTAACAACACCACTAATCGAATAATTAACTATAAGTCACGTGTTTATCTGGTGCGAGTGTCGAAAAAGTGAGAACGGCCATTTTTTTTCGTTTTGAATGGAATCTCACTGGCCTTAAGGGCATTTACAGCTCAGCTCGGACTGTTTTGTCGAGCGTAGCTTGGCCGGAATTGGTGTTATGCCGCGAATTGTAGGTTCTATTTGTTCTATATATAAACGTTCAGAACAGATTTTCATAACTCTATCCAAAGCTAAGAAAACGTGTTGATGGTGATCAACACAAGCTTAAAACAAAAATGAGACAATGCATGACGTAAGAAATATTTTTTTATATTCTAGAGGAGTAGCGTCGATGCGTCCTACCAACGCACGCCCACAAATCTACCCTACATGTGACTGAAGGGGACTAGAGCAGTTTTTCAGAAGCCATACACCATACACGGCTGTCAGAAAACTGCTGGACATTTTTATTATTAAAATAACTAGTGTAAAATGTTGGTGTCGTCTTTTGATAATGTAAATTATTTAAGCGTTATTTATTTTACGAAATGATTTTTTGGTATATTAATAACTATTTTAATTATTAAATTATGAAATTGCAAAAATAGCAACATTGAACTGAGAAAAATACGCGGGAAGTTCCCGCTAAATTTTTGCTTTCTTTTAAAATAGGTTTTTTATTGATGTGTAATGTTTAACGGCCAGTATTTTTTTTTGTTATGTAATAAATCTAAAATTAACGAGTCCACTAAAATATATATAATAATGGTATGATTATTTGGGAAATAAATAGTTAGATTTTGATATATTTTGAAGGGTTGATGTTTGTAAATATACTGTATAGTTTTATTACACCATATTCGTACTATATCTGCGTTTTTTTCCTTAGTTTAAACAAAAACACGTTTAATATTTATAATTTATTCTAATTGGCAGTTACAATACATTATAAAATAAGAGAAGAAAAACTACAATAAATGGCATATTAAGAGTTTTTCTGATACAATTTACTTTGGCTCAATTACCCCAAAATTCGGGAGATTTTTGTAAAAATAATACTGAAGTAACCAATGGTTATGAACCTTTCAAATTATCACAACAACCCATTAAGCGAGTCTAATTACATTGTTCATAAACTTAACCTAAAAATGCATTTAACGAACTAAGTATTTCGGCCTCAAATTTTATTCGTTACATTATTAATGAGGCCGCTAAAATTTGGCCGTATTCAAAAACGTGGACTAGAGATAGTATTTGTTACCATAGTTATGATATTTATATTTTAAATATGGTAACTGTGGTAACGAAATGTTTTTACTGTAGTCCACGATTAATAATGGCCGTACAAAGTTATACTTCTAGAAGCACCTGAAAAAGCACATAGCAAAGTCTAATTTTTATGTCCTTATCTACTAATAGAAGAAAACAATTAGTTTCTCCTATTATTTAATATTATAATGAGCTAATGTTATAAGTAAAATAATATAGAATGACTGAGTAAATGGTCTTAACAGATAATAGTAACAATATTTCGAATATCTGACTCCAAAATGGCGGCGCTCATATGACACGCGTTTGAGCGGGAACGCACGCGCTCACCAGCAACTCGCCTCCACTTTCTGTTATTGGGATCTCTTGATGGAAATTTATGAGATCAGCTGAAAATAAATATTTTAGTTAGTAATTGATTACAAATGTACAAACAAATATGCATTTTAAGTTCTGTGTATGCTTGTAACAATCAAAGAGATTCGTGTAGAAGACAGCAATTTTTTATATAAAGTATTTCTTGGTGGACTGTTTTTAAATATCTAAAAAACTTGGTTCAAGTTACTAATGAACTCGAATAAAATTTATTTGTAAGCAAAACAATGTCTTCGTAAAACAAATTAACTTTTTTTAGTGAAATACAAAGTGAAATAAGATGGCAGCTCTCAAAGTCCGGCTTCTGATGAATGACTGATGACAAAACTTTTTTAAATCTATCAGCTATATATTTGTGTTCTGCGTAGAATAAATGTAGTCCTAATTGTCCTTGGAGTATAATTTCGTCGGAGACTGGTTTTGATCGGAATATTTGTGTAATTTAAGAATGACAATTATTAACACCTAAAAAAATTGACGTTTGTGTAAGTTTTTAATTTCTTTGTCTGACTTGTGCGACGCTATGTTGTCTAGGGAAGCATTTTGGGCTCTTAAAATTATGAATGTTTATTTCAATTTTTTAAAGCCTTAATACCTGACAATTAAATACATAGAACAATGTACAGGTTCTAAAAAAATACCAGTGACACTACAACCTTTTAAAGGCCTGGGCCTCAGATTTCTGTTTTGAGCATTTGTCAATGGCAAAGGCAAGTAGACGATCAGCCTCCAGTCCCTGACACACGCCGTCGTTTTTTGGGTCTGAGGCAAGGCAGTTATCTCACGATGTTTTCCGACTGTTCGAGCGAATGTTAAATGCGCACATAGATAGAAAATTATATATATAGGTGCACAGCCGGGGATCGCACCTACGATCTCAGGGATCAAGTCGCACGCTTGAGAGAAGTCACTAATAAACAATTTGAAATTATTTTTAAAATCTTGTTTCAAGAGATATACCTAAGGTATTATGAGAGATCTGTCCTGCGCCTAATAAACGGTAACCATCACTTGTATCGACAAGGTAGTGTTTGCACCGCGACTCCGCTCGGTATGATATCGCGTAGCCCCACACTCGCTCTGACAGTCGGACCAGGAAGGTCCCTTCTGACTTATTGCATAGAGCCTGCTCGGCTTCCGATCGGCTGATTAATCCTGAAATATTAAAGAAAAACTGTATTTAATGAAGTAAATTTTTACGTAAAAAGTGTTTTTAGCTTTATCTACACAGATAAAAATCCGGAGATAAATAATAATATATAAAATTAGATGTAAAAGATTTATTAGTTACGCTTTCACATTGAATTTCTGTTATTCTGTATATTTTATCTGTATTCTTTTAATCTGTGATTGTTTTAATGTATAAAACAACCACAGATCATAGAGATACATATGTAAAAAAATTGTGGGAGACAAAGACAACAATAGCACGAAATTCGACCATTTCCACCCTTTTTTGTTTCGTGTCTAATCCTTTACATTAAATTGTATTATGTCAGATTAAACATTTATTATTAAAACTAGGCAACAATTCAACGAGACCTTTTATAGGAATAGTAATACAAATGAGAGTATTCATAAAGTTATTGTCATTCACTCTTCCTCTCTCTGTCAAATTGTGTTTACGCTGTGATGAAAAGAGATAACTATAGGTAAAACATTGCAGACTTAATTTTACGAATACGGGGATAAACATTACCAAAAAGTTAATAATAAACAAATCTCTCTAATTTTATGGTACGTTTACACGCTTGCCAAGCCTTGGCAAGGATCGACAATCGCAAGCATGTAAAAATGGCGTTTGGCTTGGCTTGCGTGGGCTTGTGCCTGCTTGCTTCCGATCCAGTCGAGTGTCGGTTTTTTTACGCATCAAAGGGCGTTTGCGGCAAGCGCTTGCGATGCATTTACATGTTGGTACTTGGTCCGCGTTTAGTAGCCATTGTGATCTCGCGGCGAGTACACGCTTGCTTGATTTTACAAGAAATAAATAAAAAATGAGTTGCTGGTCGAATGAGGAGAGTCTTTCGTTTCTGGAACATTACCAAATGGAACCATGCATCTGCAATCCGAAAGATGCAAATCATAAAGATAAGAGGAAACAAGCAGATGCATGGATTCGTCTTGCTGAACTAACTGGAAGGCCAGTAAAGGAAATAAAAAATAAAAAAGAGATATTGATGACTACTTTTCGCAAGCACTTGAAAAAAAAAACGTGCGAAAAAGTACGTTAAACCAAATGCAATAGCCGTCACAAGTTCGGTGTCCGCCATGCTTGGATGTATATTGCAGAGTGCAGACTGACGCATTCACAAGCGTATAAACGCCTTTCAAACGCCAAACGAGATTTGTGGAGGCTTGGGACTGTTTGCAGTTTGCCAAGGCTTGGCAAGCGTGTAAACGTACCATTATAGTATTTTTGTTGCCTTACTTGATGTCGGGATGAAATCGTTTGTTAGCGATAGGGTTGCCCGTTGCATCCTTAATACTGTATCTTACTTGTTTTTATTTATTTTAATAAATAAATAGCTTAAGACACAAAAGGGATATTTATAGTTTTAATGTATTTATTAATTACCGTGAAACCATTCCGCGGTTTTGTTGTCGTCGAAAATGCCGCCCGCCATTTCTTGCTTCCTAAACCATTCCACGACAGCCTCCTTATTCGGTGGTTTGTTTACTGAAAAATAATTCGATAGTATTATTATATAGTTGTAAGCTGTGTTTTAATGCACAAATGTTTTTAATTATATTAGGATAATGCATGCGACTGGAATTTTGAATGACGCTTCAAGGTAAAGTAAGTAATATATATTTATTTATTCCTTAAACAAAAAAAAGGGTGCGTGTACTTATGTACGCGCGTAAGAAGTTATACTTCTTTGGCATTATTAAAAATAGTTTTTGATTGCATGCAAATAATTAATTACAATTAAATAATCAAAGACTGGAAAAGGAGTCATTATAGTCAAAATAAAGTTCAGTTAACATTTGAAAAATTAAATAAATAAATATTTATTATTATTTTCTTACATTAAGTGTAACATAAATTCTATTATTATTCGAATGTTGTTTTTAAATTATGTCCAATGCCGTAGCATCTTCCGTGGGCAACTTCATTATGTTAATTTTGTGTCACGGTGCGCGCGCATCGTAAAATTTCACTCTCATCAATTTTTCATAACGCGCCTAAAGAAGCATAACTTCAAAAATACCTTGTGTTGGACAGACGGATTCCGGTTCATTGCTTCGACGATGGGCTTCACGAGCTGCTCTTGCTATCTCTCTCATGGCAGCTTCCGCTTCCTTCGCTTTCCTCTCTGAAACAACATATAAATATAGTATTTCAACTCAAAGGTACAACATATCAAAATATGTACAGTGTCACTCGGCTATGGTTGGTTTAGCTTGTCTTTCATACACTCTATACTCTGAAAAGTGATTCTACGGCGAGTGATAATTGCGTCCCTTTTCATCACAAACAGTAATAAACGCACAAGTAAAGATAACATTTTTTTTTTAAAGTACCTGGAATCAGTAAGCATTGATGCCAGCTAGAGAATAAAATAAAGTAATTAAAGTTAATTCGATATATTGTTCGTGATATTGAAATATTTGTTTTTTTTTGTATTAGGTCACTTGAGTAAGTAAATATTTAGATTTACTTTTTTGTAGGTAAAACTTAAAAAATAAGTTTTATTTTTTATGGGTTAAATTTGTCCCTTTTTCGGTGGAGAACTTTGTTATTAGCAACACTTATGAAATGTGAGAATTCTACGGAATGAAAAATCAGACTATACATAGCATTACACCCGTCCTCAATAACGAACTTTCTAAGGAATACATTCTTTTGTTTACAAATAGGGATTGCTTGCACGTGTAGACTCAGTGTTGTTAGTATGAGTCATGGAGTCTATATGTTATCATATTCTTTGCTCACAATCTTTCATACTGTAAACATGGCAAGTAAGAGGAAATCACTGTTTATTAAAGAAAAAGCTTTACTGATACGCGCAATAGAGGCGGGAGAGAATTACTAACACTAGTCTGAAAATAAACTATTTATTTTCATAATATAGATTTTTCTTCTTTCCATTTAACGACAACTCTTTGTAGCGTCAAAAATCACAGTCCCTTGAGTGTCGTTATATAGAGTTGACACTGTATCTATTTTATACTTAAAAACTCTATTTTTTTATTTGTTTAAATCAATCAATCAAAAATCATTTATTCATTTAGGTAACAATGTTCACTTATGAACGTCAAAAAAAAAGAAATATATATTAAATGCTTCTAATTTTACATTTACTGCCAGTTCTCAAATCAAGGGCGTAGAACGGAAGAGAAGAACTGGCAATAAACTCTCCGCCACTCTCTTTAATCGCCAAGTTTTTGTTTTACACAAATCTTGCAAGTAGCTGCAACCATTACACCATGTTCCACATGACATCTTAAGTAACAAAGAATAATAAAATGAGTTAAAAACAAAGATTTGACCTCTATCAGCAGGAGGAATGGTGAAATAGGAGCACGCACTTACATTCTCGTGGGAACAACACGCAAGGGAGGGAGGGAGGAGACAACCCGACGCACGCAAAATAGACATACCCTGTTCCCTCCACACAGCATCCTCGTCCTTCGCCTGCAACTGCGCGTCCCGTAAAGTGCGCGCGCGCCGCGCTTTTAAGCCCCGCAATATATCGCCCGCTCTAGCCGCCGCTACACGACGCTCCCACGCCGCAACACGGAGGCTTACTCCATCGCCACGACACACGTTCGAGTCCTGAGAAAAACAATCGCTAGGATTTCAGAAATGTCCTTATTCGTTCACTTGAACTATTTTGAAGTCAACGGGAATGGACTACTGTCGAAGTAGACATGTGGAGAAATGGCTATACCAAAAATTATTCTGGAATTGTTGGATAAACACCTTTTGTATGGCAATCAAGGTTTATAATAATTTACCAAAAGCATTCAAAGATATTCCTACTAGAGTTTTTAAAATGGACTTAATAAGTAGAAATTGTATTTATTTATACGTTCATGTAATGTGTTTATTGTGTATGCCTAAATAATACAAGAAAATATGACATCACAAATTTAACACACATACACATCAATTATATTAGAACATCAGTAATCTATCATAGGACAAAATTAAAACAGACAAACACAAAAAAAACTAAAAATTAATAATAAATAAAACTTATAAGATAAAAAATTTAATAAAAATAACAATAATAACCTAAACTTAATGAAAACTTAAACCTCATTAAGAGCGCGAAAAAGAAGGTAACGGAAACTTGGCAGACTGTGGTAAAACACATCAACATTTTCATCGATGTTAGTAATAAAGTTGTAAGAGCGAGACAGCCTATTCACTGCAACATTCGAGTAACTCTAGGATTACAAAAAAAGGATAATTTTATTATTGATTTTATTAATTATACGAAATAATATACTTTAATAATGTGATATTTGAGAATTGAGTATAATGTATATAACTTCTATGTAAAATTTCATTTTAAAACAAATTTGCACGCCATTATGTGTGGCAGAATATTCAAACTTTAGATTGTACCACCATAACATTTTTGTACCATATTCTTGCAAATAAATTATTATTAGGATACTTCTTCTAAGAAAGTAGAAGACCAGTATTAGGGCAAGATTCAGAGGCGAAACTTAGAGAGAGCTAAATACAACTTGCGTATGACAAAGCCACTCCCAGTATGACAGTGACACAGAAAATACGTTATAGATTAGAAGTTTATTATTGACTGGTTTTACGAATAAAGCAGGGGACTCTTACTCTAAGCCAATGCTTACAACTAATATACATATAGTCACTCACTTGGATATCCTTCTTTCCTTCAATGAAGTTAAAATGCAGCGTATTCTGCTTTAGGTCCAGTTTGATATCTTCGCAGTATGTCTTCTCAATTCCTTTTTTATCTTCAGCTTCCAGCGCCTCCATCCTTTCCCTTAGCTCATCCACTGTGCAGTATAAGTCCAATGTATCTTCTAAACTGTCTACGGTCTTTGGAGATAGGTCGAATTTCTATAAAGACAATTTGTTTTCACAAGTTAGATTTACAAAGATTGTTTTATAAACAAAGTGTCACTATATTTTACGGGCCTTTGATATTGAAAGATTGGTTTATGTTTATTAAACGCAACACGTATGTCTCGATGTTTAGACATTAGTTGCTGAGAACATGAAAAGAGAACATAACAGATTGTAATACACATTAGCAACGTTTGATCCTGATTTCATAACAAATCAATAGTAAAAACGCCTGCCGTAAACGTGGACAGGCAAAGAACACATTTGCTATTATTTTTTCACAGGCGCAAAAAACTTGTATCTTTATTTCAAATGAATTATCTAAATGTTGTTTTGCATTACATTATCTATTAAAATTAAAACTATTTTACACATACATATCATTCATACCTGTTCTAAGCTATCCAAAGGTTTATAGTCAATAAGATGTGTGAGCTCCTTCTCAACCGATTTGCGCAGCTGGTGTGCCTCTTCTCTTGCCTGGGCGAGTGCTCTTTGTCTGGCCTCTTCAGCTAAGATGCACTCGATAGATTGATCGTTGGGATGCTCACCCATCACCCACACCTGATTTTGGATCACTAATTATGTATTACCTGGCTTAATGGTGGCACATGGCGTATAAATTTTTTTTTGGGGTGGACACGACTTATCACTTAGGGGTTTGAAAGATAGATAGTATTCGATTCTCAGACTTACTGAATATGAATTAAAAATTTCATAAGAATCGGTCAAGCCGTTTTGGAGGAGTATGGGAACAAACATTGTGACATGATAATTTTATATATTAGATTAATGATAATGTAGCATTCAAATGGTAAAAGAATTTTTAAAATCAGTCCAGTACTTTTTGAGCCAATTCGTTACCAACATACTTACATACAAATCTTTCCAATAATATAAGTATAGATAAATTGACCACAATATTTATAATAAATGAAACTTTGGGCCCGTCGACTGTACCTCCTCTATAAAATATGTCAAGACAATTGTCTATAACACTAGTAAACTTTACCGAAGGCAGTTCTTAACATTTAGACCTTATCACCCACGAAACAAACTATATCTTGATCTTTACGTACCCATGGTTCTCCATCCTCGCCTTTAAGAAATTGAACTTGCTTTTTCCCATTGGAAGTGAATTTTCGCCCGGTGTCTTCCTTACACACTTTATCATCCCATAGCTGCCAGCGACGGACCTGAAAAATAATTTAATATATTTGGTGAGGATGGATGTTTGGACCTTATTAACACTATTTTTATTAATTAATCATTCATAGTTCAAACTGTACGCTTCGAGAATAAACTACCACGTGATGTGGTAAACTTGTCACATAATACATTTAAGAAAATTATAAAACAGAAGCTCTCTATGAAAGCCTATTATAAAATATCAGATTACATAGAAGATAAGGAAGCTTGGAATTAAAAATTATTTGCTCCAGCTATTTAATTTAATTGTAACTAAAATAATTGTAAATAACTTAAGACGATCAAAAAAAACTAGCCCGAGGTTCTTGCCTTTCTCCTTGTGTGCTGATCGCGATTCCGAACAGGCGGTAGACAATACAAAGTGATCATTTGATTCAACTAAATAATGAATTTTGAGTTTGAGTTCCAAGTTTCCCATACAAAAATGTACTGTTCCTATTCCTATTATGTTAAGTATTCGAATTTACGAGTTGTTTGTCTTTGAAATGGGTGTGTTAGTCTGTATCTACCAAAGACATTTTTTTATTTACACAACAAAAATTTAAATGTCTATAAATTCTTGTGTATCTTCTAACGGAGAGACCCCGATAATGAGAGACCCGATCCCAAGGTCATAAAAGCCCTACGGATGAGATAACTACATGAGTACAGGCAGCCCTAGGAAAAACGGATGGGACGAAATGGTAAAAAAAAAACTGAACCTCTCCAATATTATTTTCTAACTACACCATGATCCACGTGACATATCGAATAAATAAATTATATTATAAAAGAAATTAATTATATAAAAAGTAATTGTCTTTAATCGCAAGCAGGACATAGAAAGAAACTATATGAACTAAGAGATTATTTCAGTGATCTAGTCATATAATTTTTTTATAGAGGGGCATGGGGGCAAGGGCGCAAACGGGCAGAGGCTTGAACTTGATGATAAGTGATACCAATGGACACTCTCAATTCCAGAGGGCTCGAGGGTGTGTTGCCGGCCTTTAAATGATATGTACGCTCTTTTTTGAAGGACCTTAAGTCGAATTGGTTCGCAAATACTTCAGTGGGCAGCTGAGGCAGTGTTATAGTATTTATTTAATAACAATATTTAAGCAATAGAAATTCGGCCTTTAATTCGAGGTATGTGCGTACTTAATTTAATTAAATCGTTTCGCCGTGAAAGCGTATCATTTGTCGCGTTAAACGAGTTTTAATTATTAGATATTTAACTAAAATAAAAACTGCGGGCGTTTTAATTTGAATTTTGGTAATTTATATTGTTTCACAACGAAATTGTTGAATTTGCCTGAAAAATATACTTAAGACCAGACTATTCCCTAAGATCTGGCCGGAAAAAGAATAAAAATAAAACAATTTAGACTTAGACATGTTCACAGTAGAGTCTAATTTTCATCCTACTAGTATTTGAATCTTAGACGATATGTTTTGACGTATCTTAAATCAATACATTTAACTGTTTGACATTTGCATTTCTTGCAAATAAAAAAATACACAATTTTTCCACAGATCAATATGATCTAATTCTATGTCGTATAATCAGTGGAATAGACTATAGATATTCAAACATCGTGACGCAATGAAGTTCCCATTATTATTTGCCGCCAAATTTGACACTCGGATGTTGACATTTGACAGATCGTCGTCGTAAATCGTTTCTTTTGGATCAAGACTCAAGTGTAAATAAATGTTGTTTTATATTATGTAATAATTCTATTTACCGATAGTTGCGAAATGATTGACATTATTAAGCTCAGCCTAATAGCTTTGAAGAGAAGGGCAAATTGTCTAAGACCAACCTTGAATAACACAGATTTGGTATTTTTAGAACAATGAATCGTGACCAATGCGTTAAATCGTTTAGGATATGGATTTTTATGGAATTAGATACAGTATCGAATTGTAAAAAAAGTGTATTAAAATATTCGTTTAAGCAACATTTAATTAGTAAAGTAAAAAAATGAATTTACCCTATTAGAAGTCCTGTAGCGAAATATAAAACAAATTGTACCACATAACTTCAAATTCAAGTTCAAGTTTGGGGGAGTTAAACTGTAAAATTTAAACCGAGAATTGCGGTTTAATAGATAACTGAAGAGTCACAATGAACCGGGAAGTTTTTTTTTTAAATTTATTACGTGACCATGGATACAAGTCTTTTCTTTATGTAATAGGAGGAAAACGGGCCGGAGGCTCACTTGATGTTAAGTGATACCGCCGCCCATGGACACTCACATTGCCAGAAGGCTCACAAGTGCGTTACCGGCCTTTTAAGAATGCAATATGCTCTTTTCTTGATGGACCCTAAAGTCGAAGTGGTTCGGAAACACTTCTTTCAGTCGAAATAAAAGTTATATCAAATATTACCTGTTCTTCTCTCATTTTGCAAAAGAGAGTCTGTTTCTGTGTCTCGTCCAGCTCGGCGAGGATCTCCGGGTCAACCCACATGTCACGAAGGATCTGCTGCAGCATGGTGCTTGCTCTGGAAAAGATAATATAATAAATAAGTCGTTCTAACATTTTTATAAACGTAACGATGGCGCAAATCCAAACGGATTAAAAACTTTCTATTTAATCGGATCTTGGCAAGGACTTTTGATAACATTTTATTTATTTAATTATTAGTAATCTTACAGCTAACTTACACATTATAAAACAAAGCACTTAGACAACATACAATGCCAAAACAGATTACATAGATAAACAATATATATGAAACAGAAAACATAAGTACATAATATTTTTTTTTTTAAAGAAAACTGAATTTTCATAAAACAAACGACATTAATACATGATATGTCAAAGAAAAACTAGAACTTTTATGTTTATTTTTGTTTAGTAGTTTTGTGACAGGTGAAAACCGACGCTCATTACCAGCAACTCCAGGGGCTAGCGGGTGTGTTGCCGACTTTTATATACCACTAATACGTGTTACATCACTCAATAGACCGAATTAAACGTGTTTTTAAAATGTCAACCAGTGATTTCCCGTTGTTGTCAATGTCAAGATGTGCTATTTTTCAAAACATTAGATAAGATTACGACTAAGGGGTTTCCCTTAGAAGATATACTTTATAAATATATCTTTTTAACAACACTTTTCACTCAAAGTTTATATTAAAAAAAATAATCAAACTTTTTAATTAATTTTTTTTTTCTTTTAATATGGTTTATTGAGTTTAATAATTTATATTTGGTTCTAATCTATACTGATTTTATAAATAAAAAAACATTAACTACCCTTGACTGATTACAAAACACAACTACAATGTTTTAGGTCTGGGCCTCAGATGTGTGCAACAGCTCTATTAAGAATTGGTACGTTTTCGTGAAGGACCCTAAGGCTGCTGCCTCGAATTTTGCGGGCAGCGGGGCGGCGCGTGCGGCGCGGGAGCGGGCGATTGCATCTCTCGTTACCTGCCTTCGCGCCGCTGCCACGCCGCTGTTTTCGAGAACCGGTCCATTTGATTTTACGCATAAGATCCTGCCGCTCCCGCGCCGCCGCCGCTGCCGCCCCGCTGCCCGCAAAATTCAAGGCAGCAGCCTAAGTCGAATTAGTTGGGAAAGATTCCAGTGGGTAGCTCGTAGATTTAAAGAAAAATATTGCATGAATTTGCTATTTTAAATGTTCATCTGTGGTTAAACGAAACAAGAACTACGAGTTCGAATAGAACACATTATTTACTACACTCATAAATTGTATTTTAACATTCCCGTTTCCGATAATTTCCAATAACATAAGTGTTTAGATTTGTGAACCCTTAGATAAGCCAAGTTTTTGTTAGCGTCGCAACAAGTAAGTTATAAGCTTATATTTAATACCATTAAATTCAGTTGTTACACAGCTTCAAACAAAAACCAAAATTAAATATCGTTATGAACTTGTCCCGTATGTACGATGATTACGGTTGTGATTCCTGGTACATAGGTAAATAATGTTGAGAAGTATTTGTCAAGTTTAATTTTAAATCATGTTTATAGTCAAGCCCCCCACGGGTTCATCTGTACATTATTTAAATTAATATTTGCTACTCGTTGTCCAGAGCTCCGTAACAAGTCTACCGACACCTACAATCTTAGACTACAAATTACCACTATGACGTCACATCCTGAATCGTGCTAAAGATATACAAGTTAAGTCAAAATCATTTATTCATTTAGGTAACACAATGTACACTTATGAACTTATGTTTGTAAGGAGCTGCAGCCATTACACAATGTTCCACATGACCGCATGAAGAAAAGTTATCTCCTTTTGAAAGCTCTGGTTAAACGAAACAGGAAGCACGGGTTCGACTTGAATTATTTTTTTACTAGTCCGTTTATGGAGGAGGAGGCTGTATAAATTATAAGCTAGTGAAACCGTAGGGCTTTGCTAGTAAAAGATAAAGATGTCCACATCTCATTTACTTGGACACGTGATTGATGTTTAAGTTTCTTGTTGCAAAATATTCAGTGCGTAACGTATGCAAACAATAATATTTGCATTTTTACACTTTCAAACTAACACAATGTTCTAAGTAAGAAGCTAGGGCAGAAACTTTGTATTTATACCAACCACTCACTGAAATCTACCAGCTCCCACTGAAATCTACCAGCTACCCACTGAAATCTACCGGCTACCCACTGAAAACTTTCCGAAATAATTCGACTAAGAGTCCTACAAAAAAACAGCGTACCAATTCTTTAAAGAGCTATCTGGCATTGTGTCCACGGCGTATCACTTAACACCAGGTGAGTTTGCTGCCCGTTTGCTCTCTATTCTATAAAGCATCATGCTCAAATAACTACAGTCTACAGGTTACATGATAATATACTTCCTGTGAAGCTTATTTAAAAACACCAATCGTAAACACTGAATATTTTTAAACTTTGAAACCATTCAAGTGTTCTCAGAACCAACATGACACAATGGAACTGACAGTGTATGAATATTTATATACAGGAATGAGTAACGGGAACTTATACATACATTTTCACAACAACAAAAACTCAATAAGATTATTATCCTTACATTGTGTCTTTGACGTCCAGAACTATTTCAGACTTTTAGACTCTTATTCATAGAAACTGAATCAGTGTTATGCCCCCTTATAACTGGCCATTCTTGCGTTAACGAGAAACGGATAAGTATTTTAATTAAAACGACGTTATAAAAATAAATAAAAAGAAAATTAAAACATTTTTTTATAGAACAGGGGGCAAACGGGCAGGAGGCTCACCTGATGTTAAGTGATACCGCCGCCCATGGACACTTTCAATGCCAGAGGGCTCACGACTCACGAGTGCCTTGCCGGTCTTTTAAGAATTTGTACGCTCTTTTCTTGAAGGAGCCTAAGTCGAATTGGTTCGGAAATACTTCTGTGGGCAGCTGGTTCCACAAAGTGGTGGTGCGCGGCAAAAACTGGCTTGAAAAACGCTCAGTTGTGGAACGGCGGACGTCGAGGTGATACGGGTAAAATTTCATGTCCGATGAAAGATAATTAGATTTAAAAAGTTTGGTCCCTGTGGCAGTGTAACTTTAACGCTGGCAGCATTTCCTCTTTGTATTCCGATTCTTATTCGTTAAGCGTGGAAAGCACCAGCTCGGGTCACCGGTACTATCTATCTATGCAATGACTAAACTGTCTAATTTCTCTAAACTCATCAAGAATAGTTATGTAACCTGAAATTTATCCTTTAATTAAACGTTTATTTTGTTAATTTGTCATAAATAGAAAGTTCATTTGAGGTCGTAATTATAATAATACGAATCTAAACTTAATTTTATTAAATGCATATCACTGCAGAGCAGTATTGGCCTAGTGGATTCAGCGTGCGACTCTCATACCTGAGGTCGTAGGTTCGATCCCCGGCTGTGCACCAATGGACTTACTTTCTATGTGCGCATTTAACATTTGCTCGAACGGTGAAGGAAAACATCGTGAGGAAACCGACATGTCTTAGTCCCAAAAAGTTCGACGGCGTGTGTCAGGCACTGGAGGCTGATCACCTACTTGCCCATTAGATTTAAAAATGATCATGAAACAGATTCAGAAATCTGTGGCCAAGAACTAAAGAGGTTGTAGCGCCACTGATTTTTTTATATATTTTATTATATCATTTGGTTCCATCACAAAAAGATACAGTATTTACAATATTCTCCTGGTACTCTCTAAGTACTGTTACTAAGTACTAAGTACCTTTAATACTGTTACAGGTACTGCCATGGGTACTTTTTAATTTTCAATTTATTCATTTTTTATAAAAATATATTGAAAATATTGAATTTGTGTGTATTCGTGGAATATAAAAACCGTTTTCTGTTTTGGTATCCGAATTAATTCGTTATTAAACTTCAATAAGAAAAGTAGAGTTTAATGCAGATTTCTAAGTTATATAACGCAAAAGCTCAATTCAAATCCTAAACATTTTTTTTCTTTTATGTCATCATCACTAAGTTGTCATCACTCCCTCCCTCTTGTTCCACTCCAGATGTGATGTGCTTCGCCATTTCCAATACATAATTAAATACCAACTATTCAGCAGGTTCATTAAGAAAATAGTTTATAAACTGGAGTTAAATACACAAATATAGGGCAAGCACACCGTCGTGTGTTTTGATCTTAGTAATGAGTCTTCTGTGCCTGATATCGTAAGGTCTAGTCTACAAACCGGTTCCCTCTTGACGTGTTCCTGTTGCGCACATAGAAAGCGAAATTACGCAGCTCAGCTTCTATTTGACAGCTTCAGTATTAATTTTCCTTTGACTATCTTTAATTAATAGAACGTGAGTTTTACTTAATTTAAAGTCCAAAAGCGTTTTTGAGCGCTTACGGAGTACCTAAACAATTGTTAAGGGAATAAGTATTTTAAAATTACTAGTAAAACCTAAAGTAGTCAGTGTAATTACTTTTTTATTTTTGTAAAGTAATATACACGAAACAAACGCAAACTTGGCGGTTGAAAAGAGTGGCTGAGAAGTAATGCATTTGTTTTGGGAACTCGTGTAAAGAATCTTTATTGTGACGTTTATAAGTTACGAATATAAAAGACGTTGAAGTGGCTTAGGCCTAGCTTCAGCGTGCGACTGTCCCTGATGTCGAAGGTTCGATCGCCGGCTGAACCAATGAACTTTCTTTCTATCTGCCTGTTTAACACTCGCTCGTACGGTGAAGGAAAACATCGTGAAAAAACCGGCTTGCCTTAGACCCAATAACTCGACGTGTGTCACAGGAGGCTGGTCACCTACTTGCCTAATTGACAAATAATCACGAAACAGATACAGAAATCTGAGGTCCGGACCTAAAATAGTTATAATGCCACTGATTTTTATGACGTTATGACGTTCGCTGAGATTTCCAAATGATAAACAATTATTCGTATCGTTCGCCATGGGCATAGATAAACCATTTGCCGAAGTACACAATTATTCTTATGTTAAGAAATCTTTAAGTGTAATGATGTCCTTTTGTAAAGTCGTGACAGAGTCA